AATTAGCTGTCTTTTGCCTTTTGTGTTTTTGGGGTCTGAGTTTGATGGGGTTTTGATTGGAAATTGCTGATATTTTTCTTTTTCAGGTTTTGAGGGGCTTTGTTTGGGATGCTGAAGTGGGTTGGGATTGGATTAAATCATGTGATTTGGGAGAGGTGGGGTCTGGGTTGGAGAAATGGGGTTCCTGAAAATTCTGGATAAGATGTTCAGTTTCCATAAGAGCGGTTTGAGGTATATCTGTACTTGGTTGGGGTTGTTTTTTATGGTGGGAGTTTATTGGTAAAGGTTGGGGAATGGTTATGGTTGATTTTGTTTCAAAAGGTTTGATATGAGGAGTAGATTTTGTGGTATGTTTATTGGAGTTTGATGTGTGCTGAGAGGTTGAAGATTGTTGTGGAGGGTTTTGAATTGAGGTTGGGTTAAGCGGATTGGTGTTTGAGTTGGTGGGGATGAGAGAGTTGGTAGGTTCTGTTTGAGGCGTGATTTTGTTATTAGGACTGTTGGTAAGAGAATCTTGGTTGCTTGCCCAGTTGTTGAAACTTGCAGGAGAGGGATTTTCTTGGGCTCGGATCCATTCACCAAAAAGCCCTTTGGTTAGAGTTCCTGCAGTGATGTCCTGTGCTCTTTTCTCACAAGCTCTGTCTAAATGACCAATAATGCCGCAGTAATAACAGACATTTGGTAGTCTTTCATACTTGAATTGAACCAGAATTTTTTTCTCTCCTAGTTGAATGCTGGCACATCTCATCAGTGGTTGGAGAATATCAATGGTGGCTAGTAGTCTGATACATTTCCCGGCAAGAATTCCTCCTTTAGGGATCACCACATCTTTGATTTGTTTGAAAGCTGTGCCTATTTTCAGACCAACATCCTCTGAAATCCAGTTAACAGGTATATTCCAAACTTGAATCCAGGTGTCTAGTTCAGAGAAGACTTTGTGATCTGATGTAAGGTCATCTTCCCATTCCGTTAAGATAAGGGGTTGTCCTTCAAAGTTCCAGCTCACTCCCTTTGCCACTTTGTTTTTGTCTGCAAGATCGTCGAATAGAAATTGGAAGTAGTTTGAGCTTAACTCTTTAACTGTGACTGAAGCCCTGATTTGCCAGATGATTCCTATAGTTCGTTTGAGTCCGGCAGGGTGAGCTTTTTTGTGTCCGACAATTTTGCCGAAAAGGCTTTTCTTGCATTCTTCTGCACTTATTTCAATATCTTTCTGTTCGATACCTATTGTGTTCGCTTCCTTGTCAGAAAGTTGAAAATTTCCGAGTTTGTGAAGCAGTTCTTCTTCCATGAATCAAAACCCTTAGCCAATTAATTCTTGCTGAAGCTGAGATGCCAATCCAATTGCAATCCAGGTGCGATTGAAAACCCTAAAGAGATTAGTTCCAAAAGGAATGATTAATTAGCTTGCATTCGAAGGGATACTGCTCTGCCAAAGAGGAATATCGGCTCTCATGGGGAGAGGAATTGCGATTTATTTTGTCAAATTAGTTATTTTAGCATTTTGGTCCAAAACGCTGCAAGCCAAACGGCCAGAATATTGTTTTTAAGAAAATATCACTTTAGCCTAATTTGTACCTACTTCTAATAAATCAAGACAAATATACACTAGTAAGATATGAGGAAATATGAAGATAGAGTGTTTAAAAGATTATAAAATAATTAAGGGTTTTATTAGTAAAACTATTAGATTTCTCAACTTTTTTTTTTCTTTTAAAAAAAGAAAAAAAACTATTACATTCTTCAACTTAGTATCAAATATCTAAAATGACAATGTGTAAAAACGGAGCCAACTACTCCAACTTGCCACATGGGTGCCACATGGGGTAGTTGGCTCCGTTTTTACACATAATCATGAAAAAAAATTCAGTAACACCTATATTGTTCTCATCCAATAAGATTGTGTAGAAGNAATATATATATATATATATATATATATATATATAAAAGATGTGGTTCAAATGAGAACCAAGTCTTACTGTGAGAACCGTGAGACCGCTATTTTTAATTGTGCGTGGTGCTATGATTTATTGTGTTTGGTGCTATTTTTAATTAGGATGAATTTTATTAAAAATAGCAACATAATTTATATTAGCATTTGTAAAAATGATAGCATCATTTAATATTAAAAATAGCATCATACATAATTAAAAATAGCATCAAATACGGTTCTCACGGATATATATATATATATATATATAGGATTTGGTTCAAATGAAAACTAAGTCCTAGTGTGAGAACCGTGAGAACCGCTACTTTTAATTGTATGTAGTGTTATGATTGATTGTATTTTAGTGCTATTTTTAATCAGGATGTATTTTATTAAAAACAACAACACAATTTATGTTAGCATTTGTAAAAATGATAGCACCATGTGAGATTAAAAATAACATCATACACATATTTTCTTGAGGTAGACACAAAAGATTTTCATTTTAAGTCAACCTATATGGTAAATGAATGCAGGCCATGGAGAAGGATTTTGATGTTTCCCTCATACTACTGAAGTTAGCCTAATTTAGGTAAAGATGGGTACGAGGGTAGAAACGGAAATTCCTGTGTATCGTGCATGCATCTAATATAGCAAATTGGATTCAGGCACAAATCAGGTACAGCGAACCGTGTCATGAATGATCGACGGCGAAGACCAAAAGTCTCCAAAATTTAGTATAAACTATTTAATTAAATTAATTAATATTTGTTCAAGAAATCACAATCACTCACGTGGGCTTTGGACGGTTGGTTTTGCGGTACGCCATCGGGTTATGGCCCATTACTTTTTGGTCAGTAGCGGCATGCGGTACGTGTCCGTTTCGTGGAATCTGGGCTTTTGGGGCCCATCCGGTATGAGACCCGACCCATGCATGCAGTGATTCGGATATTTGACCCGATTATAATTCCAGCTGAACAAATTTCCCTTAAAAAAAAGTCACGTACATTAACTATAAATCATTCGGTAACTAAAAGAGATAAAAAAAATATTAATAATAATTTTCTTATAGAGTTATCATATATCATGACTTGAAGTCCTCCACAATTATTCAAAATTTGTATTTGATACATATCATGAAACTTGAAAGTAAATAAATAAAATTGACACATATGTCAGTACATTAATTAATTCATAGATGATTGGCTCTATAGAATTCATGCTAAATAGATATGGTCAAAATGTAATTTTGTTTAGTAATTTTTGAGACCCAACATAAGGCGACAAATAATGGATAAAAATTTTGGTCTTCTAATTAAAAAATTTTCACAATTTGAGGGTAATTTGATTGGAACTTGAATATATTGTTTGTATGCATTTGAACTATTTGGTAGTGCCGCTGGTTTATCTACGGTGATCACATGCTCAGAGGGTCTTTTTCCAGGTCCATTAATGGAACCACTTTGTTAAAAGATCAAGATTGAGGATTGTTAGAAACAAAACATTTACACGGACAAAAAGGAGAAAGACAAATCATGTTGAAAATTGACTAATATGATTGCTGAAAAAAATGTGCATGGGACATAGAAAAATCTCGTAGCGCACACGCATCACGTTCACAAAAAGTGGCATAACTGATTCAAGTGTGTGTTGACATCAAATTTAACATTTATGCGGCTGCACCACTGTTAGAATTTTTAGGTATGCAAATATCCAGATTTTACACGAAAATCAAAAATTAAAATACGCAGCGGAAATAAATAACATACGGAAAATTCAAAATTTAGCCTACAAGTGAATATACACTTGTAGACTAAGGCTACATGCCAAAATTCTACTAGAACAAATCAAATACAATGTTTTTTTATGCAATCCAAAAACATCTAGTGAAAGAACCAAAATATATCAAAAACCCAATCTATATCGAATGAGTATCAAAATAATGAATCAAAACACTCCCAAGAGAATGGTGAACGAGTAACAATAAATAACACAAGTTCGGGAGAATAAAGAAAGGATCGATCTCCAAGTCCCGTCCTTGTTTTCCAATATTTTCACAAACTCCTTGGGTGTGTCTTGCTTGTTCGTCGCCTTGCACACAAATAAAAATGAAACTGCACCTCTTTTCTTTCTAATGAAAAATACGCTGCTAGCCTGATGAACCAAATTGAGATGATGCTTTTTTTAAGAAAAGAAATTCAATGCTGCTCTGCCTCATGAAAAACGCATGCCTCTCCCTTGTTTTTTTCTTCTCGCTAGCAAACAGCCGTGTAAAGCTTGTTCTCCAATATTTTCCTATATCATAAGATATATTCTTCCTTCCTTATCTCTTCCTTTCCAAGTAGGAACCCTATCAAGAGAAGGGAACCAAATAATAAAAAAAAATAATAACATTATACTCAATATAAAAACAACTAATATAAATATACATATGTTAGAAAAGCAAAATAAAAGATAAACTAAAAATACGTAAAAATACGTATTCAACAACCACAAATATGTTTAAATATTTTTTGTACATTTATTTGTACTTTTGGTTGTATCCTATGAAATATATGTATATACATATTTAGAGTGTGATATACCCATATTGGACTAAATTAATACATATTGCAATAATACTTATATGCACCCTTCTCGTATTCATATATTTATATATGGGTAATGGAGTAAATAAATGAGTTTCTCAGCGTAAAATTTATGAACTCTGTTAAATACGTTGTATTTTATCTAGTTGTAACAATGCTAAGAGTGATAATGAGACGGAACAGACAATATGTTATATCAAAAATTCATAGTGCGGGCAAATTCAGTAAATATGATCCTTGGGCCTAAAACTACATCATGGAAACAACAGAAACTTGCATATGAACATCCCTTTGAGGATGAGAGTAAGCAAGCCCGAGTAAGAAAGCCTAAATCTCATGAAAATGGACTAGTCCATGTCTTAGTAGTTCGGCAGGCTAAGATAAAGGCTCAAGCTCGGTCCAACATATTTGGAAGGCGAAAATTCAGAATGCACTTTTATAAATTAGGACTTTACGAAAATTTAGCCGCCCAAAATACCTCGTTAGAGTTCCTTATGCTTCTCCATCTGTCTACGCTCTGCAACTTCTCGACAACGACCGACGTTCAGGTTGGCTATTGCGTATCGGGTCTTCGATGGGCCAGTGAGCAACAGCCTAGACCGAGACCGAGACCCATATGGCAGTAGCGGGCCACGCCGAGACAGCGCGAGACCGCGCTGCAACTGTTGAGTATACGGAGGTTTGCGCAGCAAGCGCAGACGACGTCAAGAAGTGAACAACACGAGCAGCACGACTCATGGATCAGCAGGCGACGAGACCTGGGCAGCGCGCAGAAGAGGCGCGGATCGCATCGACGAGGCAACGCGACCATCACGCTGCGGACTGAGCACTTCGGGCGACTAGGCAGACACGCAGGATAGCGGCCAGGCGCGGCATGCACAGACGTGACGCTCAATGTCTGCGGACTTCGCATGGGCTAGCCGTGCGCGACAAGGATGCCAAGAGCTTCCAAAATATCCGGCCGATTCTGGAAGATTATTTAATTATTATCTTTACTAATTTGTTATTCCTAAATATTCGGATGTTTATTTGGTAGTTCTTAGGATTCTAGATATCTATTTTTCTTAAGATTAGAGTTTATTTCCTCTTAGAATTCGAAGTTAAAGTCCTCATATAGGTTTACTCTTTATTTTCTTTGAATAACCACGTCATATTCATTCGAATTAAAAAAAAATTCAAGCAATAAAATAAAAAAAGTCTCTTACGAGCAAAAATTATCTTATGCCTATCCAAGTCCATTAGTGCGGGATCTCACAAACCTATTACGATTCACAAGGCTGTTAGTGCGCGTTTTCACAATTTATTGTATAGAAGCAAGGCCGTTATCGACTTATCGTGCGCTTCTTCACAAAATAAGTTTGGGATACACGATTTCATTGGTGCTTTCATTGAGAGAGGCTGATGCCTAATCGTGTATCATTCAAAGAAAAAAAAAAAAAAAAATTGAGCGTGCAACATCATGACAAATTGCGAAAGGCTCGATACCATGGAGGAGAATCTGAGGGCCGTGACCGACAGTCTTCATTCCACGAACCAAAACGCTCGGCATGACCGTGAACTACACGGGTGTTTAAAAAGAAAAATTAATTGTCCAACAAAAAGTGAAAGAAAATTAAAATTCTTATTGTGAAATAAAAAATATAAATAACTAATAAGAAAGTTATTTAAATATTATTTCGAATTCTAAAAAATATTTTTATAAGTATTATTTGTTTTATAATATATATAATAAAATTAAATATAATAATTAATTTAGTCGGTAGTTAATATAACGCCCGTGAATAACACGGGTAAAGAAATGAAGAAATTTATATTATTAAAATAAAATGATAAAAATTTAAGAATACAACTAATAATTAAAAAATAATAAAGTTAATTATTTAAAATAATACCCATGTTTTATACTCGATTGTGGGTGTGTATACATATGTATACATCACATATATATATATATATATATATATATATAT